CAACTGTCAGTTGTTGAAATGGTTACTTGTGGATTGCACACAAGTGGGCGGTTTTAGATCTACCTCTCCCAACCCTCCTATGTTTTCACTTACAGCAGGGGTTGGCAACCTTAAACACTTAAAGAGCCACAAAGGTCCTAACCGGAAGCCTCACCCACCCACCCATTCAATTCTGGAGCTGACCAGTAGTCCGATTCCTCCAACATAAATCCTTTTTCCTCCACCTGTCCTAACAGAAAGCCCTGTCAATTGTGGAGCTGACTGGGCAACAGGGAGCTGCAGCAGAGGGATGAGAGAGCCACATGCGGCTCCGGAGCCGCAGGTTGGTGACCCCTGATTTACAGGGAGAAAACCTTCAAAGCTAGATTCATAAGCTTACCGTACCTCTTTCTACCTATTAACTCCCTTTCCTCATTTTACCACTGTCTCGATTTATGTCAGGAAACCAGTAGCGGGTCGCATTCTTTGCATCTAAAGAGAAATATGCTTATTTCTTTCTGTGCATATTCCTAATATAGCAATGGAAACCTCATCGCAACTCCCCTGCCCTAAATACCTATAGGGCTGGCTTGGTCATTTCCTACAACTTCGGTTCCACTGGAGCAGTGCGTCGAATGAACAAAGTCATTTTTTGTAACTATTCCATGAGTGTAGGGGGATCAAAATGACACCCGAATGGGGCTTTGGAAAATGTACTACTCCATGCATTTTTCTTCTAGCCAATGAGGCCAATAAAATATGGCTGCCCGAGAGACACATAGTCCCAGAATCTGCCCATTCTTGTTACAGAGAAAGGAAACTCTAGACTAGGTTCATTCCGGTTGCACATCATGGTTTCTTGATGCCACGATTGAGTGAATTCATGCAATGTCATGAATTACCCTGGCTGGGCTTACATAAACATGTAAACACAATGTACACCACTATAACCAGCCACATTTCAACTTAGTCCAAAGCAGAGAAATCATCTCAGAGTTTCTCAAGGTTTCTGTAGCACAACGAGCCAACATCATTGGTAGATTCGGGGGGTGGGGGCGAGGGGTTGCATGAGCCACCCAATGTAACATTGCATCCTGTGGTTTAGCAAAGTGCCAACTTCTGCCCATTGCAATTTGTTAATGGGAAAATAAAAAAAGCCAGGATGAACTGGTTCGATAAGATTTCCTCGGGCCCTCTTGCTAAAGGGGGTGTATGGCCTGCGGCCACCCATTCATTATGGGTGCTCCAAAATGCAATGTAGAAAAAGTTTCTTCCCCCTCCCCTTCAACCCCCTCCCCTCAGCCACTCGGCCATCCATGAGGCCAGATTGAAAAGACGGATGGAGTATTCCTAAAATCAAAAACTTTTGCAACTGGTAGTAACATATAAGGGTTTTTGTTTCTCATTCCAGAAATGCACAGATAAGACCTCTCAGAATTAAATCCCACCATCTTCTCTTTTGCTGACATTGTGTGTGTGTGTGTGTGTGTGTGTGTGTTTGTTATATTTTGTACTTATAACCGTGCTTTATATTTATATATATATTTTACACGCCTGGAAGCATGCACACCTCCCACAAGGCCCTGCGCGTTCTGTGCAACGCTCTACTTACTACACACTGTCCTTCCCTCCGAGTCTTTGGCCGCCTTTATAGCAGGGGTCTCCAACCTTGGCAACTTTAAGGCGTGTACTTCAACTCCCAGTTGAACTCCTCTTGCTGACCCCGACCCCTTCCTCCGGCTCCTCCTCCTCCTCGCGCACCTGCCCCGTTGCCAGTTGAGTTGAAGTCCACAAGTCTTAAAAGTTGCCAAGGTTGGACGCCTCGCTTTACACCACGCAGTTCAATAAGCTGCGATCCTCCCTCTGGGATCCACCGTCCTTTCGTCCACGCCTTGCAAAAAAAATAGCGCCACGCCACGCCACCCCACGCAACGCTGGCCAAAACAGCAAAGGCGCCAGCTGCGGAAGCGAAGGGCCGACAGCGCGTGTGGACTGTGAGATGTGAGGTGTGAGGATCCCGGGTAGAAGCGCAGCCTGGGTGGGTCCGCGTGTGGGTGTGGGTTCAGTTGTGCGACGTCATGTGCCGCGAGAGGTGGTGGCGCTCGCGGAAGGACTCGTTGCAAATGGGGCACTTGAGCTTCTCCTCCCGCCGCCTCTTGACCAGCGGCTCGAGCGCGTACTCCTTTTTGTGGTGGGAGCGCATGTGGTACACCAGGTCGGACGTCATGCGGAAAGAGGCGTTGCACTTGGCGCACCAGTTCTGAGCCGGCAGGCAGAGGGAGGTGAAGGAGGGCGGCAGCAGCGTCAGGGCCGAAGGCAGCTGGAGCTGGAGGGGGCCCGCGGCCGCAGCTGCCGCCGCAGCAGCCACGGCCGCCGCCGAGCTCTTGGGCCAGAAGGTGGTGGCGTAGAGGAAGGGGCTCTGCTTGGGCAGACCACCACCACCACCACTTCCTCCTCCTGGCCCCACCCCTCCTCCGGCTCCTTCTCCTCCTCCTCCTCCTGTTCCTCCCTGCGCACCTGCCCCGTTGCCAAGCTCTCCAGGCGCACCGGCCAGCTTGAGCGGCTCCGATGCGTAAAGACGCGCAGCTCCTTCTGCGCCCGGGTGGCAGCCTCCTCCTCCTCCTCCACCTCCACCTCCTCCTTCTACCAGGGCGCTCAGCTTCTGTCCCAGCACCAGCTGCGCCGAAAAGGTGGAGCGCGCCGGCTGCGAGAAAGCGCTCTTGCGCTCCTCGGGGTTGGCCGCGCCGCCGGAGGGCTGCGAGGATGGCACGGTGGAGAAGGCGCTGCCCCCGGAGCGGCCGCTCAGCAGCGAGGGCACAGGCGGCTTGTCCGCGGCCGAGGAAGCCGGGGAGCCTCGCTCTTTCTCTTCGTCCCCTCCGGCTCCGTTCTCCACGCCGCGCGAGGCTTTCTTCACCTCCACGAAGGCGCTTCGCTTAGCGTCGCCGGTGTCCGGGCTGGGCGGCCTGTATAGGCGGCTGGCGTCGTCCAAGCCGTAATAACTCCCCGCCGGTCGGTATTGCTGCTGCGGGGTACAGACCAGCTCCTCCTTGGGCGAGGAAGGGATGGGCCTCTCCACGCGCGACCGGCCCGTCGACGAGCCTCGCTCTTCGGCCAACGCGTCCCCTCCGGGGTATTTCCGCTTGGTTTTGCCTCCGGGGCTGGCGCGGCCGTCGACGCCGGAGGCCGGCTGCTCCCTGTTCGCAGGAGACCCGCCGCCGTTGCTCGGCCGGGAGTTCTCCAACTCCCGGGCTAAGTTGTGGAAGTCCGTGGACGGCTTGGTCACGCCGCCGTTGCTGTCCTGGCCGGCGTGGTAGTGGTGGCGGTGGGTGGGGGGCTGGATCTGGGGCTGGGCGCCCCCCACCTGTTTGCCGTGGAACTTGCCGGCGCCTTCGTGCTCCTTGGGGCTGCTGTTTTTGGGGCTGGGGTCCTCCGCTGGGCTGCTGTCCGCCCCGGGCAGCCTCTTCGGGCAGCGAAACCTCAGGTGCGCCACGTAGGGGAACTCGAATTGGAAACGCTGGCCGCAGTCCAGGCAGGTGTGCGGAGACGAAGCTGGGGCGGGACAGAAAAGAGAAAAGACAACTTATTGGTCACCTGCTGTGCCAGACCGACTGACCAAGTTGTCAGACGCACAAACCCCGAGAAGGAAGGTTGAACCCCACTGATGGTTCACCAATGGGAGTCCAGCTAAAACTTCTGACTTTTAAAATCCATAAGCTACCTGAGAACCGTTAAAGGTAAAGGTTCCCTTCACACATATGTGCTAGTCATTCCTGACTCTAGGGGGCATTGCTCATCTCTGTTTCAAAGCCGAAGAGCCAGCGCTGTCCGAAGACGTCTCTGTGGCCAGAAACGCCGAAGGAGCACTGAACGGTGTTACCTTCCCACCAAAAGTGGTCCCTATTTTTCTACTTGCATTTTTTTACATGTTTTCGAACTGCTAGGTTGGCAAGCTGGGACAAGTAATGGGAGCTCACTCCGTCACGCATCACTAGGGATTCCAACCACTGACTGCTGACCTTTCTGATTGACAAGCTCGGAGTCTTAGCCACTGCGACCCTTTTAGACGCCATTACAATTGTGTNTATTCTATTCTATTCATATCCCATTCTATATATTCTATTCTATTCTTTCCTTATTCTATTCTATTCATATCCCATTCATATCGCATTCTACATTCTATTCTATTCTATTCTATTCTATTCGTTCCTTATTCTATTCTATTCATATCCCATTCTATTCTATTCTATTCATTCCTTATTCTATTCTATTCTATTTTTTTCCTTTCCTTTCCTTATTCTATTCTATTCATATCCCATTCGATATATTCTATTCTATTCTTTCCTTATTCTATTCTATTCATATCCCATTCTATCCCATTCTATCCCATTCTATTCTATTCTAAAGGCCTGCAAATGTTATTGTCCCTGACTCTGGATTCCCCGGAGACCAGTGGCCTTTATTTCTGAATAGATAATGAAAGGACTGACCACCTGGATGCTTTCAAGACACTTAAATTACAACATTGCAAATGATACGTAAGGAAAGATGGCTTCCAGACATAAAACCCCATTCGCCCTTGGAAGTTTAGCTGCCAGTGAAATTAGAGGAATTTACCAAATTCGTCTGGTGTCATAAGTCTCAGGGTTCAATGAGTTTTAGTCCCACTTAGCGGGCGTGGAAGGCCTTCTGATTGCCGGTAGATCTAGAACCCCAATTCCAAGCATGATTTACTTCAGGAGTAAATTAAACCCTTTCCGAATCTTTCTCTCGCATAGGAGTGCCCTCGTAGGACTCGATTTATCCAGAAAAAAAAAGTCCCGTTCAATTCAATGGGAATGACACCCCGGGAAATACCCATAAACCAAACTTCCCCAGCAGGGAGAAACGTGCTACGGCCTAGGTAGGTTACGATTTCTGGTTGGGTTCAGTAATGCCATGTGTGAGCAAGATGTGCTTTAAGGATACATTTGTGGCACCCCGTAGCCCGCGGGGCAACACTAAAATCCTCTTCCACACGTTCAACCTCCGAGTCCATTTCCACCAGGAGCCCCATTCGTTCGATGCGCAATTCTCCATGTGTCGTTCATCCCTGGCGTTTCCTTTTTCCGATGTCACTTGATAGACGCCTGGATCGCCAGGTGCTGCCTCCGCTATAAACCTTTGGGCTCCAAGGCTTGTGCTCGGTTATTATTAGATTATTATTAGATTATCAGAGTTGGAAGGGATCTTGTAGGTCATCTAGTCCAACCCTCCACTCAAGCAGCCAAGGTTAAAACCAGTGACACTTATAAGGGTGGGGGTCCTCCATCCCTCCGCAACCTGTGGGTACAGAAGCCCTGGACGAGTTAAACTGCTCACACCCCACTAGGAACTTACTTGCACCCCCACCCCCCAGAGGCATCTACCGGTAGCCACTAAGACCTAGAAAACTGCTATTAAGATCCTCTTCTCAGCCAGTAGATGGCAGCAAAGAGAACCAGAAAACTCTCAAGGTGCCGAAAACTCTTAGGAAAACTCTTATAATTGCGGTGCGGATATTGCAGCTTGCTTTCATAGCACACAGGCTTCTCACACCCCTTTCACTGAGGACTGACTGGTGTTGTGTGATCTGGGGCCCCATCGGTGCTCCGGCTTGCTTGGAGGTCCCAAGAACTAGGCTTATTGGATGAAACTGCCATTCTTCCCAGAAATCTTTGAATCCCAAGTTGCTTTAAAAGGGAAGGGTGGATTTATTTGGTTTAAAAAAAAAAAACAGATGGAAACAGATGTTTTAAATCGTGGAGATCTTGCCTCTCTTTCGCTTGCAGGAAGAATCCCATTTCTGATTTAAAGCGAATCATCTGTCAATCCAAATAGTGCCGGTGGACCACTTTGGCACGCCTGCCCTTCTGTGCTGGTGCAAAATGGAGTTGGGGTGGGGGCTTGAATCCAGGACTGATTACAGAGTAAAGGGAAAGGAGGAGGAGGAGGAGGAGGAGGAGGAGGAGGAGGATTACACAACCAAGGGAGGGAACTCTCCTTCTTTACAAGGCAGGCCATTCACTTTTTTGGGAATGTATCCCAATAATAGCTAGTGGTTAGAATGCAGTATTGCAGGCTGACTCTGCCCGCTGCCAGGAGTTCGATCCTGACCGGCTCGAGGTTGACTGGGCCTTCCACCCTTCCGAGGTCAGCAAAATGAGGACCCAGGTTGTTGGGGGCAATACAAGCTGACTGTGTAAACCACTTGGAGAAGGCTGTAAAGCACCACGAAGTAAGAGAGATTGCTATTTATCTCTAAAGAGCGCATTGCGCTCAGACCTGGCAAAGTTTCAGGGAAATCTAAACCCCAAGGCGCCCTGGCTGGGATCCTGTTGGCTTGCACTGTTTAGGCAAAACGAGGGAGCAGATCCTGCACCGAAAGTCCATGGTGTTGGTGATTATTTGGGGGTGAAAATGTGAGATTCCCAGCCTGCGCCGGTCCGTAGAATTCACCACCGCAGCCTAAGCGCTTTGGTTGCAAAAGAATCCATGCATGTTGCATGTGTTAGGATGGGTCGCCCTGTCAGCCAGATGTCCAGGCCGGATTTCGTCCACCTGTATAGTCCTGAGTTAGTAATAATCATTTTTATTGTCAGGTGCAGAAGAAACGTACCATGGGATAGCTAGGCAGATGTTGTCGTATGGTGGTGTTAAAAGCTATGGATGTAAGCAGGATGTAAGCCATTCCGAGTAAAGCTGCCGTTTGCAATTGACGTTGTTGTTGTTGTTTCCTTTCTCTCGCCTACGTCCCAGTTAGGGAGGCTTCGATTGGCCACTCCGATGTCAACCAAAGGACCGTAAACCCCAATTCCTAATCCAATTCGCATGGCAGATCTGCCCGAGCTTTCAACTTCGTCGTCGCACCGTTTGTGCACCTGAAACCCGGCGCCAGGCAGGTAGGCAGGCGCCAAATGGAGGCAGCATCCACCGCGCAAGGCGAGGAACGTTTCCCCGGAGATTAAAACCCGCTCAACTCCCTTATGGCTGGGATGAGCTTGAGTCCGATTGCGCTTCAGGTAGCGCGGCGCTCCTTAAATGGCCCCAAAAAGGCTAGCGGAGATTTCCCCACATCCTTAGAAAGTAACTCTTGTCATCTTGGAAGAAACCCACCCACCCCACCCGGGCGCCCTTCCTCGCCCTCGCAAGGCCCCCGATCCTCTGCTTTGGTTGGATGGGAAAGCCCAATGAGCGGGGGGGGGGGAGGGGGAGAGAAGGGGGTGTCTCCAACGGCCTGCTTTGGTTGCAAACCTAAACTTGGGGGGAGCGTTTTCAAAGGCGCAAAACCACCCAGTGTGACTAGGGTCCCCTTCGGCTGCCTTTAGGATCGCCTGCCCGGATCCCAGCCAGGGCGCTTTGGAATTTAGGCGTCCCCGAAATGTTTCCAGGTGTGAGCGCAATGCACTATTTAGGGATAAATAATTGGGGTAAATTCCAAAAAATAAAACCCAGATGACCTGTCTTGTAAAGAGCGTTTCCTCTTCTTCCTCCTCCTCTTCTTCCTCTTTTTCCTCCTCCTCTTCTTCTTCCTCCTCTTCCTCCTCCTCTTTTTCCTCTCCCCCCTTCCTTTTTTTCCTCCTCCTCCTCCTCCTCCTCCTCCTCCTCCTCCTCCTCC